GTGTGCCAAAGACGGACATGTGTGATGACTTTTGGTGATATCGTTCTGAGACAAAGTGGATGTTTTTCAGTAGAGGCAGTCATAATCTCCCTTCTTACGCGGGGTTTGCGAAGTTTTTTTTTTTTTTTTTTTTTTTTTTTTGTTGTTGACTCTGCCCGGCTGTACTGTCTTCTCTATCTTTTGTATCCTTTCTCTCTCTCTCTCTCTGTGTGTGTGTGTGTGTCAGTGCAATATCGAGTTATCTCGTTTTGAACTGTCATTACTGGGGACTTTTAGGCGCAGAAAAACACACACACACACAAAAAAAAAAAGAAAATGCCCACTAGCGGGGCGCCTGCGGGCGTTAATATGCCGAAGAAACGTGATCCACGTCTTCGTGGCGTGCAGCAACCGCAGGAGAAACAGTTTTTTGACTCCGCGGACTACGAAGTAAAGCGACAACAGCAGCAACAGCAATCACAGCAGCCACCACAGAAGAACCGGACGCCCCCGCTGTGCTCACCACCCTCCTGAATGGAGTGAAACAAGCACCAGTGGAATAGACATGAAGAAACAACAACAACAACAACACAGAAGGTGAAGGGAGGGAGCGTGGAGAGGGAGGAGTGGCCTTCATAGAAAAAGCAACACGAGGGTATAAAGTGGAAATATGTACGTGGTGAACGCACTCTTGGGGCGACACTGTGATTGTGCGGAGTAGGCACATGTGTGCATGTGTTGATTCTGGTTGGAGTTGAGAGTGGGATTGCTTCTCAAGGCGGGAGGATGAAGCGTGCTTTCTTTCCTTGACACATTCCTCACCAACTTGCCGGGTTGAGCCTCAACACAGGAGGTGTTATATATATATATATATATATATATATATATTTTCATCTGAAGGTTTATCGGCTAGGAACTGGAACGTGGGGATGATTGGTAGGGGGGTTCTCAACCGCAAGGAAGAAAGGGGCGGGGGAGAGGGACGGAAATCCTTCTCTCACTTGTTTCTTATTTCTTCTGTCAGTTTGCATGTGTCATTGGTTGAGGGGGTGTCGTGTTCCATGTTTTTTTTTTTTTTTTTTTTCATCTTCTCCTTGTTTGTGTTCTACACCCTCAATGCGTGCCGTTTCGGCGCTATCAAGTGCCTCAACTTTTTCACGCACTCTTTTTTTTCCTTTTATTTTTTATTTTTTATTATTTTTCAGCTTTTTACGCCAGTGAGCTTCATTGACATAAATAAGGGGAGACGGTGGCAGCAACAGCGACGACAATTTCGGAGAACAAAGAGGAGCCGGGCTGGCTGAGAAGGAAGAAACAATAACGGAAACAAGCGAAGAAAAGTTTTAGGCGGCACATTCTTTTTCTCTTCACGTTTTGGGCGGGGGAGGCAATGCAACGGGGCACGGCACTGTCGTCAAACAACCCTTTCAGGGAGAAAAGCGATGACCTCCCTGTGCCGGGAAATGAACCGGGCAACACACAGACAATTGCCGAGGCTATCAAGAGTGATGATGCCATGATGGCGAATGAACTCAAGGCACTTTCACGGCGAGCAGAAACAAGGAATACGGAAACGGAGAAGATTTCTATTCGCGGAGGTGTTTTAAAAACTCCTTTGGTGCGTCGCAGCGGGCGTGGCCCGCGAACGGTAGAAATTAAGGAGACTCACAGCAGGGAAACATTTATCGCCAAGAAACGGGAAGTGGGTCTCATGCGACTTGATCTTGCAAACAAGGAGGCAGAGATCCGTCATTTGGAGGAGGAAATGGATCGTGCGGAGAAGCGGGTTCGTCAACAGCAGGAGCAGCTTTCCAGCACAGAGGAGAAATTTAACAATTTTCTTAAACATAGCAATTTGGAACAGGATGCTGCCGTAAGACGAGCAGAGATTGAGAGCAAAGCCAAGTTGGAGCGTCTTATCGACATCAAAAAGCTCTCAGCACAAATTAGTCACATGGAACAAGACATGCGCAAGACAGAAATTCAATTGGAGCTGTGTAAGGAGTATAAGGAGTTTATGGACAGCATCACGGTACCCCAGTGGTTCTACGATGTTCTCTGTGGTCTTCGTGTGAACGATGCCAGTGAAGTGATTTTGCGCGAGGCCGAGGCGGAGTACACACGCCGGGCAGAGGAACTAATGGTGGCGATGCAAAAGGCTGAGGCTCGACGTGAATCTCACCAGCCAGTGGTTTTTGCTGAACGTCAGAAACGAGGTGGTCTTCGGGAAGAGAGGCACAACGACGAAAAAAACGATGGGTCATTGGAAGACGAGGAGGGGGAGCAGGTGCCAATTGAAGCCCAACTGGAGAAATTACACCAAGAACTTGAGGCCGAAGCACAGAAGCGGCAAATGGAGGCTACCGAATCTATTAAAAAAGAGGTGGAGGCACTTTCTGTAGAGGAAGTACGTGCAGTGCTGGACAAAGAGTACCCACAGGAGCGCATCCCAATGTACTTTACAGAACCGGATCAGATACTCGACATTTTTATTAACGTCGAAGAGGGCAACTTGTTTCTTATTCAAAACAGTCAAGAACTCGAGGAAGAGCTGGAGCGTGTCGCAATGGAATATTTTCATGAGCAGGAAGAAATGACCACTATGATGCGGCAGCGACATGCGCAGATGGAGTCGCTGGCGACAAGGATCAAGGAGGCACAGGAACGTTTGAAACAACTAGAGGAGCGCTTAGCGGATTTGGAGAGCACTGAGGACGGCGCTGACGCGGGGCTTGAAGCTGCACGCGGTAAGAAGGGCATTGTCTCTCCCAGGAGGAATAAAGCTGGACCTGTGATGAGGCAAGAGGTACTAAAAAAGCTCATTGAGCGTGCTGTGGCAGATATATTTCGATGCATTACTCAGCATTCGGTTTCTCCGCGTCGCCCCGAAGATGGCGAGGGACTTGAGGATAAAATGCGGAGTGCAGTGAGACAAAAACCACTCAGTGCACGTAGTAGAAACCCTCAGGCCGCGCTTTCTCCCAAAGCCAAAGGCAAGAAGAAGGACCGGACTATCTCTGAAAAAGCACCTGGTGAAGGAGGGGTTGAAGGACAGAGTGACGGTGAGGCCAGCGCCAACATGTGGCCTGTGGAGATGCTTACTATCATTGAAACCAAGATAGACGAGTACATCCACTATATCAACAACCCCGAAAACGGCATAGAACAGTCTCTCATTATGAGTGTCATCAAGATGCGAGACAAGGAACGCCGTCACCGGGCTCGAGTGGTTCAATTGGAACGGCAGTCAACAGAAAGAGAGGAGCGCAACAAGCGAGCTCTTCAACGTTCACAGGCACCTGTTGTGCGGCGACGTGGGAAGCCAGTTATGTGGCGTTCTCATCCCCCGGTTGAGACAGTGCGGGGGAAGGAAGTGAAACAAGGCCCTGAGAAAGAGAAAGAATCGGACCAGGACGATGAATTCTTCCTATGAGACAAATTGCTTGGTGGTGGTGAAGGGCACTGAAATGTAGTGGGCATTTAATGGCTGAGAAATGAAGAATAAAAAAAAAAAAAAAAGGGCGAGAGACGCACCTTTTCCCCCTTTTTTCTTTTTCTTGTGTTGTTGGCTGTTAATCAGGGGAGAGTAGGACACGGTGAGAAAAACGAACTCGCCACTAATTTGCTCATGAATGTGCCTTATGTAATTAGACTATGCCTAGTGCACCTCATGTAAAGTGTTGTGAGCCGATGTAGGATAAAGACATTGTGTCTGTGTCCCTGCCTTTGATTTGTTTTTTTTTTTTTTTGTAAATGTTGGACTCCAGTCTTCTTTAAATCTGTTCCTGTTACTGTCACTTTTACCAATCATGTTGCCGCTACTACGGGTTTTTTGCGGTGAAGTCTCTATTTTTTTTTTTTTTTTTCTTTTAACTATGGTGTTACACAAAAGGGGCCGGAAGAAAAGGAGGAAGCCCAAACGTTAGCCGGAGGGCTGTTGCTCTATTGTCGTATCCGCCGCAGGAATGGCGAAGAAGCATCGCGTGAAGCGCCAGAAGTATGTGGAGCACCTTCTCCGCCTAGAGAAGGAAAGGGATGAGTACCTCGCGAAACGCATGCGTTCCAAGCGCAGCCGTGCGGAGCGCAATGCGGAGGACATCTTTGGCGAGGCGAAGGAGAATCTCACAATGGGTGAAATGAAACGTGAGCGTAAAGAGTCGGCGGCCAAAGAGCAGGCGGTGTTGTCTCCAAACGAGCAAAAAGAGAAGGAAGCCGTGAATGCTTCTGTAAACATGGAGAGGGCGGAGAATAACGGGGATATTGCTGCGTTACCGGCAGCGAGGAAGGGGATGAAGCGAATCAATCGAAGGTATTAATGAAGTGCTTTTTGCCTTATTTTTAGTCCCGCTGCTGCTTTTGGTTGGACATCTGATGATTTGTGTCACGTAATCGTATAAACATTTGAATGGAAGTCACGCTTTTGTACGTTCAATGAGGAGTGGTTGACAATGGAGCTGAATTCTCACAACCGCAATATATACATATATATATATAATGGTGTGGCCTGATGAATAATTGGTGGATTTCTGATTACCCTCGTTCTAAGGAGGACACTTTATGAAACTTCTCGGCGTATCATACGCTTTTTCTTGCACCCACACTAAACAGGCGGAGAAAATTGAAATATTTGTGCTTTATTACTTGGTTTTAAAGAAATGCTTTTTTTTTCCCTTTACTCTTTATGCCACCAATCTCTTTTGAATCTTCTTAATAATTTCTGTTGGCTTTATTTCTGCGGTATATGTATTTTTTGTAGTATTTTTTTTTTTAGGAGCGTGCATACACGCATGGGAAAGACAAAAGGCCACCCTCGCAGAGATGAAGGGCAGAGGGGCTGGAAAGGTGCACAACGAGGCGGATTTTGCAGCCGCGAGCCGTGTACAAATCCCTGTAGCGTGCCGTTGGCGATGTGGGACTTTGAGCAGTGCGATCCTGATGCCTGCTCTGGTCGGCGCCTATATCGTCAAAATGCACTGCGTCTTTTAAAGCTGCGGGAACCCTTTCATGGGGTTGTTCTTACACCCACAGCCACAGAGTTCATGAGCCCTGCCGATGTGGATATCGTTGCCCAGTTTGGTGCTGCGGTGGTAGACTGTTCATGGAAGCAGCTACACGCAGTGCCATGGCGGCAGATGAAGATGGGTGCTCCACGATTGTTGCCGCTGTTAATTGCCGCCAATCCCGTCAATTACGGTCGGCCATCAAAGCTGAACTGTGCGGAGGCATTGGCAGGGGCTCTTGCCATTGCTGGTCGCATGGAGGACGCAAGGTGCGTCTTGTCGTATTTTTCGTGGGGAGATAGCTTTTTTGATCTAAATGCCGAGTTGTTAGAAGGGTATAGCAAATGCGCCAACCCCGCAGAGGTGGTGGCCTTTCAGGAAAAGTACGTGGAAACGGAGGCAGTTGAAAGTGCGGCCCGACGGGAGATAGACCTAAATAATATGGACCTGATGGATGCAGTTCCACTAAACGTTAAACGGGGTAAACTAAGGCGTCGAAACAAATGGAAGAACGAAGATGGCCGCGATGAATTGGAAGAGGAGGAAGAGGAGGAAGAGGAGGAGGAAGAAGAAGAGAAAAAGAAACAATTGGCGGACCTGGAAACATCAGATGATGCAGAATAAATTCATTGTTAGGGGGTATTGGTTTCCCTTTAAGAATTTTTTTTTTTTTGCTGCCTTTGTTGTTATTTATTTATTTGTTTATTAGTAACTTTTGAAGAGAATGATTGCGAGAGAGCTGGCTGCCTTAGTTTATGTATCCCGATAAAAAGAATACACTTCTTTATGACGCTTTTCTACCGTATGATTTTTGGGAATAACACGACATTAAGGGATCAGAGAGCCGATGGAGGCCAGATAATTTTTTTATTTTTATTTTTAAATTTACAGACACAGACGGGTTGGTTTAAGGAAATGGCTTTGGTTAATTTTACAATGCCTCCGAGTGGAGCGATGTCGGCGACCGTTTTTCAGAATTGGTACGCCAACATGGTACCAACGAGGTGCAGCTAAGGTTCATTGACGAAACTGGGGCTTTTGGATGCGACGTTAATTGTGGTCACCTCCATGAGAGGCTTACGGTCGGTTTCAGGGAAACATCGCCAAACCCTGGGGGGATTTGAGTCTTACGGGACATATGGCGGATCTCCGGGCGCCTCACCAAATTTCGAGACTCAATTCCTCCTGCACATCGTGTGGGACGGCCCGGGAGTTGGGGGTCCAGCAAGGGCTGATCATTGCGGAAAGGCAGAGATTATACTCGGAGTATAACAACACCGTTACAGACGTTCATAATCGGAGCGCGCGGCCTCAACATCAAATGGAGGAAGCGAATAACCACTTCTCGGCGCGCGCATCCAACATTGCGGTCACGGACGGTCTTCTTGCGCGACGAGAATTGGCGCTTGCCGGGCGCGAACGCCATTTAGAGACAACCCTGCCCAACCCCAGGCAAAACTCCGGGAACGAGAGGCACGCATCAGCGAATTGGAAGCGCGGCTTGCAGCTTGGGGTGCCGATGCGCCCGGACAGCGAGAAGCTCCCTCCTCCAGGAAAGGGCCGCCAGATGCACCCGCACGCGTATCCGAAGATGGCGCAACGACACCACCCCACCACGAGCGCTTGATGGCCGGGGGCGTGCCTGTATATCCACAAGTCCCCAACCCATTTTTACGGGAGGGCGACGGCGGGCCAATACTCGTACGTCATTGGACAATTTGGGCGACCACATTTCCCTCATTCCGTGACTTTGCCATTCCGATTTCCACCTTCAGAAGAAGCTTCCGGTTCAGAAGAAGAAGATCTGGATTTCCTTCAATTTGACTTCACCACTTGGATCCCGCGAATTTGGAATGAATGCATCCTTGGAATTCTATTTGGAATTTGGAGCGCCTACGATTATTGACACCGTGGGGACGCTCACGCTCAAATTGTCTTTTACATTCTTGTTTCGTGGATGCGCGCATTGCAGTTATTTTGAGAGCCCATCAAACGGTCCATGGAATTGGGCATGATTATGCTGCAGGACTTTCGGATGCACTTCATGGTCAAATCCGATCCCGGCATCCCGATCCACAAACTGCGTGCCCGCCTTCACTCGGCTTTTCATGAGGCTGACACATTCGCGAGGGTGGCTGAGCCTTTTGTGGATTGACGGGGAACCCGACCACCACAACAGCGATCTTTGCGGTGCCAATTGTGTCGTATTTATGGAAACGATGCATCTACACGCAACGTGCGCCCCGAAAGGGGTTTCCCGAACTACAGACGAACGTTAAGAGACGGCAAAGGGGCTGCCGGCTGCTTACGAGGGCGAACGAAAGCAGCCCCATTCATTCCACCAACTCCAATTAATTCTCTATGGCATTGCACCGTGCCGCTGACACTTCGTCCGATCTTTCGAATCGCCCGAATCATTTGACGAGAAGGCAATGGAGCTTATTCGCAAAGAAATTCAACCGTGGTACGACGAACCTCCGACATCTCCGCCTTGGGCCAGCTACATGAGGAGCGCGAACGAGGCGGATCGATAAATGTGTGTGCCGTCAAAGTGGGAGCAGAGAATGTCCCTAGCGGGGCAATTTACAACCTTTTGCCGCACGCACGAACGGCCGATCAATGCGGAGAGCCGTGCGGCCTTTTTGGCGGCAATAGTCTGCGTGGCGTCATCGACCCCACCGCGGCACGCCAGGATGCTGCGGTCCATGTTGCAAATGAATCGAACCCCGCTGGACATGGCGATTCTGGGGATACAAAA